GCCCCCTTCGGCATCCCCCTTCCTAACTTTCAAGGTCCACCTGGCTGCTCTTCTTACTTAAGGATTTCCTCGGGCTTAGTTTTGCTGTATCTTGGCTGCTTGCTGTATTATTGCTGCCTAATGGGCAGAGTAACTGGCTGTCATCTATAAGTAGACTGAATTAGTCTTGGTTAGACCTGAGGAACATTTGGGGAAATGTTGCCCACTTCCCTGGAGAACGCCTCAGTCTGCCTCAGTGATGCATGCAGGGCCCCCAGATTGCCCTGACCATCTGACTTATGGTGGATAACTGCTAAAGCAAGTTATCTTCCCTCGCCAGGCCCCAAATTCCATCTCTAACAGTCCTGACTTCTGGTGGACAGCCTCGCACACTGCAAAGGGAATGTCCCAACAACTGACAAGACCAGGAGCCCCCCAGGGGCTGGCCACCCCTCTTTCATTCTCCCTTCCCCTGTTGCTGGCACAAGGCCTGGCTACCACAGGGGCTCCGTGAGGATCTGCTGAGTTACACTGAACGTAGCTGCAAACACAAATTCCCATCTGTTCACTGACTGCAGGCAGGGAATGTCTGATGGCTTTCTGGGGTTAACATTTTTTTTCTTTTTTTCTTCTTGGGACAGAGTCAAGCTTGCCTCCTTATTCACAGGGCCTGTGAAGCTGACTCTTTTTCCAGTTGGCACTAAAAGGAAAACTAGAGCAAGCGCTACAGAACAGGTACAGAATAAATTTATAAAGTAAAGGAAATAAAATCAGGAAATGAGGGTGCTGGAGTAGACTTATGAACTTTCATTGCTCATTTCCTTTGCCTGCAGCTGGACAATGCAAAGTGGTTATGTGAGAATTAAATTGTGCCAAGGGCTTTGGCTTGTCAGCCTCAATAAAAATCTGATGCAGATAAAGAACGGTGCACCATCCACAGCCTGCCAGCGTCCACGCAGGAGGCTTTGGGAATCCCCCAGAGGGCTCAAAATTATCTACTTTTGGCTGGGAGATTTTTTCAAGGATTTAAACCCATTTTCCCACTTTTTTTTTTTTTTTTGTAAAAACTATTTGGTTAATTTAAATGAGGGAGTGGTTAAGAAACAGTTCTTTTTTTCTTCTTTTTGCTAATAATATTGAGTTGTAAGAGCCAAGAAGACTGCTAATTTTGGAGCGTGCTGGATCAGGCCTTATACTGATTATGTTGCTATTGATTCAAATAGTTGCAAGTCTTTAGGATCATTTTTAGAGTGATGGCATGAGTAGGGCTGAAATGAAAATCAGTCTGAGATAATGAACACTCCTGCTTAGAAATCATTATAGGCTGAGCGGCACTGGGAGGGCGCTGAGCTGCCCTGGGAAGGCGCTGTGCTTGGGGAGCTAACACTTGCCTCCATGGAGGGAGTGCTCTGTAATTAGACAGTTTCCTAGATTTGAAGCTTTTAACTCTTGAGGAATGTTTAAGTTTGTCAATTCAAAAAGTTAACAAATGTAAGGTTTTTGTTTTTGTCTCCCCCCTCCCCCAAACATGCATTTTAAAAAGAGCTTAATTGAGGACTGTGGGGTTTTCCTGTTGTTCAATTGGGAGGAAAAGACTGCTGGGAATTTGATGGGAGGGCTAAGACAGCAGCTTGCTTTCTCCTAAAAAAATGGAAGGCTGCTTTCTGGGCATGTATGGCAGGGGTTGGCAAACTATGGCTGTATGGCCAAATCTGGCAGGCTGTTAGTTTTTGTATGTAGCCTATAGGCTAAGAGAGGTTTTACATTTTTCATCAGTTGAAAATAAAGATCAGAAGACTAAAGAAAACATGTAATGTGAAAATCATATGAATTCAAACTGCCTGCTTTTTCAGTGTTCATAAATAAACTTTTATTGAAACCTAGATAAAATTTTATCAGGACATCTATTTGTTTACATACTGTCTGTGACTGCTTTGATGTTGAAGAGCTGAGTATGGTTGTCCCTTAGTATCTGTAGGGATTGGTTCTAGAATTCCTCTCCTGCAGACACCAAAATCCACGGATGCTCAAGTTTTGTTTTGTTTTTTACATAAAATGGTACGCATTTATATATAACTTATCCACATCCTCCATATATAAACAATTTCTAGATTACTAATAATAGCTGATACAGTGTGAATTCTGGGTTAATGGTCATTGTGCTGGATTGTTTAGGGAATGATGACAATTTAACAAGTCTGTATATGTTCAATTCATTCAGATACAACTATCCATTTTTTCCCCAAATATTTTCTATATTCAGTTGGTTGAATCCATGTATTTGGAACCTGCAGATTCAGAGGGCTGATCTTTCCTGTGACAAAGACCACATGGCTCGCAAAGCCCAAGATACTGGCTCTTTGTAGATAGTTTGCTGACCCCTGACATACAGGAATGGGGGACATTGTTTTCCACCAAGACCCTTCTCACTAGACGATCCTTGTTCATAAGGTATAGCCCTTGTTAAATGCAAAGATGTTTGGTCCAATCATGCTTGATAGGATGACCGAGTAAATTCAAGAAAGTGGTAATGAAGTGATCCCGCTTACAGTGTTGGGTTAAAGCTACTATCATATATTTTTAGTAGTTTTGGGGACAGGTCACCAACTAGTTAATTGTCTTACTCCACTGAGGCAACTCACTCTGTGCTAGGCTTTTCCAATTTCAATCTTTTTCCTCCTCCCCCTCTCCTTTCTCCTCCTCTTTTTTTTTCTCCTCCTCCCTGAGTTACCCGAGAGGTTTCAGCCTATTTTCAAACTCTGGATAGCAGATCTGGTCATCCACTTGTCAAGACAAGCAATGCACTGGGCCACATGTGGCCAAGGCAGTCAGCAGTTCCCCTGTGTAGGCACCTGCATCTGCCTGGCAGCCACCTTCTGAACAAGAGGGTGCAGGGGGAGGGAGACATTTGGGAGGTTTGGTTTCCAGATGCCAGCACGTGCAGCACTGGGCTGAATAATGCCACTTTACTTACGGCCAGACTTTCTGGTGGAGGGCAAGTTATATTATCACAGCTCATCTGAATACCTCCCAAAGCTTCTGTTATTTTTGCATCCCTGCCCCTGTCTTATTCTCACTCATGGGTAGGAGTAGAGTGAGAACATGGAGTAGAGGAGTGTCACGGGAACGTGATAAATGCCTGTTGACCCAGCAGCATCACTGAGATGCCTCATCTTTGGAGACAGCATATAGAGAATGGCCACTCCCAGCAAAAGTTGAGGGAAAGGGCTCTGATTTGGTGATCACCATTGTTTCTCTGCAAATGAGTCCAGTGACAAAATGCCTCTTCAAATGATTCATCTATGCTGCCCCCTGAAAGAACAAAACTCCAAGACTATCTAAAGATTTCACAATGCTCCAAATTACCCACCCAACCATGCATAAGTAATGCAGTCACCAGAGGACATGAGAGCACCTTCCCCACCAAACAAACCAAAAAGATTGAGCAGAAAGAAAAGTGTGCTCAAGTGCTAGACTTAAATATTTAAATCAAAACCTAATTCCAGACCAACTGGCTTTAAAGATATAAAATGTTCCTTTTGCTGCCATAATTTTGGGAGAATTTCACAGCTTTTACATGCCCAGCTAAAGAATCTCATTTTATTGAAATGGTGGTGTTGTGAAGACTAACCAATCCTATGGGTTTTCTCCTCATAGATGTGAAGATGCAGCCTGATAGAAAAGGGCTATTTGGTTGGGAATATTCACAGGAAAAATATGTATTCTGTTCAATGAAAATAAACCCTCAAACTTCTTCCAGCATTTCCCCCTCTGGTGGGAAAAATAAGAGCACTGATTGAGTTTGTGAGTGGGTCTGTCTTCTGTGACTTCTCTCCCTTTCACTCATGTCTTGCATAATTTCCAGGACTGTTTCTTTCCTCTCTGTCACTATGAAGTGCACTGTGAGGAGCAGCTAATCTGATTCAGCTGTATCCCTTCCCCACTGCTGCAGGTGGGTAGCACACTCAGCACACAATAGGTCCACAGGAGACAAGTGGAGTCCTGGACCAGGAGTGGAGGTCGGGATATCTGGTCTTGTCCCTCCCTCTGAACCACTCTGAGCAGGACACTGAATCTCCCAGTCTCAGATTACTCATCATGAAAATGTATCTCATGACAGATGCACCATCCATTTCACAGGACTGTTGTGAGGCCCAAAGGAGGGAACAGAGGCAAAACACATGTTAGCAGGTGAAAAAAGCTGCATAGAGCAGTTCTCCTGAATCAGAACGTTACAAAGGCCTGCCATGGAGCCCCACTGGGTTGAGGTCAGACTAGATGATGCTGGCAGTGGTCTCTTCCTACAGTCTCTGTTCTGATGATATGGGGGACAGGCTGAACAGCTTTTGAACTTTCTTTTGAACCTGAATGCCTCTTCACCAGGGACCAGCTCTGTGCCTTGCTGAACAAAGATGGGGCCAGTTTGGGGAGGAGCAGGAGGATGGGGACAGCTCATACATACTGAGGACAAAAAGGAACCTGAGACATTCAAAACAAACATGTTCTCAGAGCCTGGTGAAGTCCTATCATGGCCTTCATTCTTGCCTGCTATTCTTTTGGCCATGAGAGATCACAGACTGGTTACTATAGAAACAATTTTCCTCACAAGGTGCCCATGTTAGGATGAAGATGGAAATGATTTCCTTATTAACAAAAGAAGAAAGAAAGAAAGAAATTAGGTTTTTGGACATATCTGCTCTCTACTCAAAGTGTTTCTCATTTCAAGAGAAAAAAGAAGCTGCCATTACTGCAAATATGCTTCACGTTCTTAGCAGCTGAATTTCCAGACTTTCATTTTAGACTTGGGAGTACATGTGTGTTGTATGGTACCCAAGAAAGCTGTGTTTTCTCATGAGGGACAACAATGTGTACTAGGAGATAAGTGACTAAGAGGTTAGGTGGTTAGAGCTTGCCAACCTGGGGGTCACGTCTGTCCTGGGGGAGCCCAGCCAGATCAGCCTAGCTTGCCTTCTCTCCAGCCCTTCTTCCTGCTTGCTGGCATAGGCTTGCCATGGCTGCCACCTGGGAAAGTGCCTGTGAGGCATGGGTCTTGGGTCCTGTAGTTTTCTGTGGTAAGTGGCCTGGGCAAGGCAGCTATGCAAGTCTCAGTGGCTTCCCAGGCAGGTGGCTCAGATAGCTTTGGCTAGGGACTAGGCTCTGCTTATGGTCAAGGACCCATGTGGGAGTTCATACTTTCCATATAAGCTTATGTGGCCTCATAAAGAAGCAGAAGAAAATGCTCTCCAAGGTGAGGGGAGAGAGAGAGAGAAGAGAGAGGGAGGGAAAGCATATGCCTTTCCCTGTAAACTTAACTGTTTCAGCAAGACTTTCCCTTCAAAGTGTTGAGCACTAAGAGCTTAGGTACGTGAAGTTCAACCATTGTCCCTATATGAAGCCACCTAGAGTCAGCATAAGGACTTGCCAGTCTGTGTGGAGACAATAATTTAGTGAGGTGGACACACAGTGAGTTGGAACCAAAGGGCCTTGGGGACACCGAACCTATGGAGGTGAGTGACATAAACCTTCTCTCCAGCCAAAAAGAGCAAATTTAGAACTCTGCAGACTGGTGACAGCACAGGAGCAGTGGGGGCTACAGGACAAAGTCCACCCTGAAGTCCCTACTGGTGACCACACTGGGCTTCTTGGAACTGCCCCATGGCTGGAACACAGGGACTACCCGAGGTGTAAGGATAGGTTGTTTCCAGAAGGCTGGAGAAGGCCTTTCCAGACCTGTCAGAGAAATCAGAGGCGAGGTGTGATGGACGTGGGCATACATCAGGTTGGGGTCTACAAAAGGGACACATGGGCAGGGCAGCAGGCCTCTGGGCACTAGTAGGGGAGGGTGGAGTCGTCCCACTCCAGCTGGGCTTGCCTGGCTCCACTCTGCCCGTGTCTGCCTCTGCCCACCCCTTCCTCCTCTTCCTCCTCTTCACTGTCATCTGAGTCGCTGCTGCTGGAGCTTATGTCTTCCTCTGCTTCTTCCTCATCCTCCTCTCCCTCAGTCTCATCTTCCCCACACCTTGGTTCTTCATGTTTCTGGATGTCAAGGAGAGAAGAGAAATATTCAGGGCTGAGAAGAGGCCACTTTGGAGCTTATGTTTCCTTCTCCTAAGGAAACATTTAGGGACTTTTGGAATTACTTCTTAATGCTAAACCTTTGGGTTTAAAAAAACAGACTTTGTGGAGGGATGACTTCTGGTGAAAGGGAAGTTAGAAGATTAAAGACAAAGGCCTGAGATTGCAGCAAATTCTAAGACATGAATTTAAAGTAAAATCATCCTGCACTGAAACTCTCCCACCAAGTCTTGTTTTTTGGCATTTCTGGATTCTATCTAAATGGAGCCTCCCAAGCTTTCAGTGTTTGCTTCTCAGTGAGATGATGGCATTTAATCCTATGCCCCTTCTCCATGTGAGAGTACAATGTCCCAGGGAGCAAAAGGCCTTCTCAGCTAAGATCAGGCATGCTGCATTTGGGCATTCAGGAATGTAGTCTTCACCCTTTACACCTCTCTCTCTCCTCTTGACTTACATCCTCAACTGTGGTCTACATATTCCAGTTCCATTTACCCTCCCTCCAGCTTTTTGGTGATTCTAGAAAAATCTTATTTCTGGATTTATGTTTTGAGTTGGTAAACCAAGCCATAACAGGTGTGTTTCTTTGCTTGGCTACATCCCCTCTCTAGAATGTCTTCTCTCCTATCTTTGCCTCCCTCAAATTCTACCCACTCTTCAAGGCCTTCCTCAGACCAGTCTCCTTCAAGGGATCTTCTCTCAAATTCTCCCTGAAGGCTCTTCCTTCTCAAGTGTTCTTGACTCTTGACACCACCAGGTCAGGCCTTGTAAGGCACACTGTTGCCTGGTGCTTGGACTGTTTCAGGTACAATGGTCAGGTTTTCCATAAATAAGGCTCAGCTCTTAGAGGATGGAAATGCTAGAGTCCCCAGAGTGCTAACTTCAGCACTGTACCTACACCAGGTGCTTAGAGAAACTGAGTCATGTTGGCACACTGGCTTTAAATTCATAATATAAGACTAGCTGAGGAGGAACTGGGTGCCAGTCTGGGATGATCATCTTGGTTACTTCCTGGTGATGCCTCCTGCTCTTCCCCTTCTTTCCTAAGCCTTCATCTACCACCGTGCAGCATCCATGGACAGAGGCCATGAGGTGAAGGGCTGCTCTTGCTAATCATATGTCCAGAGCAGGGGGTTTGGACACTCTAGGATGGATAAGTGAGTAGGTATGGTCTTTAAGACAATCTAACATTTGAATATTAGCTGTGTGAGTTTGGGCATTTTCTTGATCCTCTCAGTTGGTTTCCCACCTTGGTAAACGAGGATGATGACTCCCGGTTCATAGATTGTTGGAAGAGAGAATAAAGTGGTGTATATATAGAGCATCCAGTATGTGTCTGGAGTAATGGGAACTCAATAAATGGCAGGTGTTGCTGTTGTATTTTTGTTTTAATCTATTCTGAGCTTTTAAGTGAACTTTTCAGGCAATATGGAGCAAAGCCATCTCATTTACACTGTTAATTAATCAAAAATTCAATACTGAGTCCCTAAGTGTTAGTCAGCTTTGAGCTAAATACTATGGGGGAGGCAAGGGATAGACACCACATGGCTGCTTGTTTTAAGACATTTCTCATTCTGTTTTTGGGGTAAGAGCAGTTAGTACATTTTAAATCATAGAACGCAGCCGTAAAAAAGTATGGTCTATTGGAGTTAGGAGGGCAGGAGGAGCTTGGAGATGGGAAGAATCAATGGGGCTGGAATACTTGGGGCAGGGCTTCCAGAAGAAAGGGCCCTCAGCCAGCTTTAGATACCAGAAGGGTTGAGCTTGCTGGAAAAAGCAGCACCCCACCCAGAGCTCCCCATACTGTGTGAGGATCACCTCCATGGGGTTGACTGTGATAGTCAGCGCAGAGTCGTCCCAATCCATTTCAGCCTCCTTGGCAGCCTCAGTCTCCTGGATGAAGTGCTGGTGGGTGATGCGGACTCGGTACACACCCATAGCCACGACGAACACGAGCATGCACACAGAGATGATGATGACCACCGTGGCGATGCTTGGGACTACTGGGATGAGGAAGGAAGTCACATGTTGTGGCAAAAAAAGCTGTGCCTGTCCTTGTGATGGAACATGGATGAAACTTCTCAACTGAAGAACTCTGGGAGTTGATACCTTACCCTGGCTAGGCTTTAGTTTCATTATCTATTTAATGGATTTAAGAATTCCTATCGCATGAGTAATTGTGAGGAGTAAATGAATCTATGAGAGTTTTTACACAGGCACATAGAAGGCACTCAATAAATGCAAATTCTCTTCTATCTTTGGCTCTTCCCCTCAAGAAGGGAAGGACCCACTGAGAAGGGACACACCCACTGAGAAGCAGGCAGTGTGGAATTTAGTAGGAACAGATACAAGTGACCACCAGATGGTAACACAATATAGCAAGTACTCAAACAGAAGTATAGGCAGAGGAATTTACGATGCTGTGTATGTGTTTATGTGTGAATGTGTATAAAGTGGCCATGAAGAGCTTCACACAAGACCCAACTTTGAGTTGGGCCTGAAAGGATTAGCAAAAATTTTCCCTAGTCCTTTGTGCCAACCTCAGTCATTGTGTGTTACGTGTATCTTCTTGTTTACTTAACTGGCTGTATGTTGAGGCTGTAAGCACCTCAGAGACAGGGCCCAATCTTCTCTATTGTTGGGTTCCCTCCCTCAGTTCTGGGCACTGATGGCTGCTATAACATAATTGTTTCTTGGATGGTCTGAGTCACAATGGCCACCTGGCATCCTGAGATCCTTCCTCTTAGATTTCCTACCTGGACTGTGCTGGATGCTACTCCGGGACTCAGGATGATGGACAGATTGCAGGAAGGGAGGCTGCACAACTAGGTGGTTGACATGCTCCTTGTCTGAAACTCTGACTTCATGAAGGACGCTGACCTGGGAAGAGTAGGAAGTGATGTTGTTGACCAGGAGTGGTGGTTGGGCCAGTTCAATTCTCCTGAAAAATGAGGGAATGAATGGAAGAGCCTGGGCTTCCCTAACAATGGCAGGACGCACTCACCTCCATGCTGAACTCATTGCTAGTATAGCGCCCATTGAGTTCTGAGCACTTGATCTGGAACCTCCGGGACTCAAGGGAAGCTGGATGCCAGTTGCGGTAGCGGATGTGATGCAAAACCTGCTCATAGCGGCTCATGGAGCCCACACCTGTGCCGGGAGACCACACTTGGCATCAGAAAGCAGAAGAGGAGAAGGAAGAGAAGACAGGGGAGATAGGCTGGAGCGTCAGGGGCTTGCAGGTCTCCTAAATTTGTCAAGGGTAAAAGAGCTCAAGAAGTTTTTGGTAGACAATGTGCAAAAGCAGAAGTTCTGAGGAGATCCCAACACTGATCCATAGGCTTTCCGTATAGACCAGGCTCTGACTAGTATGTTTGGCCTCAATCTTCCACTCACTAAAATAACATTTGCTAAGATTCAACATTATAAGAGATGGCATCCGCCACTTTCTACAGATTTCCCCAGGAGTTAAGGATGTGGGACAGGTCCCCAAGATGCCTGAGTAACTCACCAAAGGAGGGTCTAGGAATCCATGCTCTGAGGTCAAGGATCTCCAGCTGGCCCCTGGAGCTTCACAGTATACCTCAATAGATGCCACCACACCCGTGATTCCTTGGACAAGGACATTCTGAGAGAGCACCAATAGGGCAGAGGGGGCTGAGCACAGTCTTACCATAGATGGAGTAGCCTGCAGTAGAATTAGTGGCATCCAGATGTCGTTGGTGGAGCTCACTATGGTTGAGCTCCAAGCACTCCTGCCTTGGGTCCAAGTCTCCTCCAAGGACCAAAATGTCACAGAAATCTAAGTTGTGAAGCATTTCTTCTAGGACTGCTGATTTGGGGGCTATGGGAAGACAGATGCATGGGAAATACAG